AAAGTCACCAAGCAGTGGGCACCACAGAAGACAACAGGGACACAGAGGTCAGTAAAACGTGGCCCTAGACTTTGAAAGTTCAAACTCTGACGGAGGAGACAGACGTGTACACAAATAATTGCCACCATGTGCAACGGTGGTGTGGGAGCCTTAGACTCAGCTTGGGTGGGTTGGAAGAAGCCTGACAGAGGTGGCAGCATTTGACCTGAGTTCTGAATGCGACCATCCTTCATTGCCTCTGGGACTACTGCAGTCACTTCCTAAAGGATGACCCTGCTCCTACCACTGCCCCCTTATGATCCAAGCTTCACACAGCAGCCAAAGGAGTTCTTAAAAGATAATGTCATTCTCTTGCTTCACATCCTGCAATAGCGCCCCACTGTGGTCTGGACAAAACCCACACTCCTTACCAGGGCCTTGAAGACTCTCCTTAATGGAGCCCCTGCCCGCTCCCCTTTTTCACTCCGCTCTACCTATCCTGACCTTCCTGTCCCCTGCACACACCGCATCACTGCTCCCTGAGAGACTTTGCCTGAGTTTCCCCTCGGCCAGAAATGCTGTTCCTCAGAGATCTTCAAAGCTCTTCAAACTTTCCCATCAAAATTAGCTTTTTCCCTCCCTACACTGCTCTCTCTCCCACTACTCTATTTCATTTCCCCAAAGCTTCGATTATTATCTGAAGTTATCATGCATGTATGCTTATTGACCCAATCACTGACTATATGTCACTAAAATGTGAGCCCCTGGTGAAGAGTAATTATACTATCTTGTTCTCTTACATTAATGCTGGCAAGAAATAAGCACTCAATAAAATCGCAGAATGCCCACCCCCAAGGTTACACGAATTTCCCAATCCGCCAAGGGCCTGAGTCAGCGTTTTTTTCCCTCTAGGTGCGGCTCACCCATCCAGAGAGTACTGAGTTCAAAACAGTGCTTATCTTGAGCAACATCTCCTAACACAGTCTGCCTACTCCACTGCTACCACCATGCTCTGAATCAAAAGAAGTGGACATTTGTGACAAGCTAGGCATCTCCTAGCACCCAGAGACAGGCAACCGATGTCTGAAAGATATAAAAAAATAAATAAATAAATAAAAAAGAGGTGCAGAGGAAGCAACCTCCTCAGGAAGCCACGGGGAGGCCCTGGGCCCTCAGGCAGAACGTCACCATTAAAGACCTCAACAGAGTGACAGGTCAGACCTGCACTGCAAAGAAGCCAGCCCACCGTATGGCCAGGACCTTGAGCCCTAGGAACCGTAAGACACACTAATATGAAACACTAAAGGCTTAGGACTTCCTCACTTTACAATTCCTAATCTCATTTCACTCTTCTGGGAGTTCGACTTGCCTTTTATGCTGGCATGTAGGGAGAACTCATAGCGACTATACAACCATGATCACTGTCTACAGTTTGGGGGTAAGAGCCTGAGATATCAGGAGAGCCAAGCCGATCGATGAGAGATAACTGGGCCCTTTCTGTTACAAATGCCTTTATCCGAAGGATTACCTGAACTAAAATGTAGGTGTGGCATATTGCAAAGAAGTTACAAAATCCAGTCTCTTAAGGAGAATTGAAATTTAATCATGTGAAAATGTAGACCCTAAACTGAAATGATACCAAATGGTTTAACCATGTACGTGTTCTACTGAAATGTGATTTCTGCTGTTATTGTTCATCGGAAGGGAACAAAGGCACCCTGGGGTGGGAAACCAGAAAGAACGGTCAACACGAACCAGGCATGAGAGTACAACCCTTCTTGCAATGATTTCTTCTTATCTAAACTTTCGTTCATTCGACATTTAATGAGACGCTAGCTACCACTGTGCTAGGCACAAAAGAAAATAAATGCCTGGAATAAATCCCTCAGAGAATTTCTAATCTAGAGGGGAGATACACAGAAGCCATAAAATAAGGCTATCTCAACTGAAGCTTAGAGGATGGAGAGACAGCCTCTAGATGAAGGCTCCAAGACTTTCACCAAGAAGATAACAGTGACCTTGACGGACGGGTGGATCTTGTCAACAGAAAGAGACCGCCATAGATAGAACAGTGTAAGTCAGGGGGTACAGAGGGAAGACGTGTACATTATAGCCTTGGGATAGAATGTGGCTGTGCAAGGGCTGGGAAAGATAACTCTTCACTTAGACTTTAACTCAAGGACAGAACTTTTCTGCTCTCCCCCATGTTCCCTAAGACCCAGTTCTCTACATGTGGTTCACTCTAACTCACACTTACTAAATAAATAAGAAAATTAATCCAGGGAGAAAAAAATGATCTATTCAATTCACTTCGAAGTTGCTGCTGCTACGGATGTTTCTGGGTTGTCCTAATAATCCAGGTCATTGTAGAACTCCGCACATCCTTGGTTACGGGTAGATACTTGTATTGTCTCACTGACGACATGCGGGGGTTTAAAGAAAGGGCATGTGGCCAACAGTGGGCAGGGGCAGCATGAATGTGTGTGTAAGTCCGCAAATTTGGAAAGTTCAAGGAAGTTGTAGGGCCCAATACCTTGCGGATGCTTAAAAAAATGAGGAGATTCATCTACGAATCAATTCTACTGATGCCATCATCCCAAAATGCAGAGCTAATACTCTTGTACTATAATTCCAGAAAGTGATATTTTCATTTTTAAGAATACATCCAGTGAATATTGAAATACTGTTTTTAAATGATCATGATGGAATTGCAGCATGATATGGTATAAGACCAAACATATTGCCTTAGGAGTCAAGAGACCGAATTCTGCTCTGCCATTAACGTGCTGTAAAACTGCAGACAAGGAGCTTAACCTCCGTGAGCCTCCTGACGGGGAGGAGGCTGATGCCTGGAGGTGAGCAGGGTCGGTGGAGGTGGCCAGGCTTTTGCTCGGCTCACGTGCTCATCCGGCAGCAACGTGCCCCGGGCCTCCTTGGAGCCTCCCTCTCTGCACTCATGTGTGGGGTCAGGGGTGCTGCTAAAACGTAGACCCTCTTCACAATGTTTACCGAGCTTTCGGTTAATGATATCTGAGGGAGCTTTGGATTCTAAAATGTCCTCTGGGTCCTATTTTCTGGTGTCATCTTTAGGTTTGAGGACAAAGCCTTGAGAAAAGCATCTTCTTAAATGAATCTAGCAGCACACAGGTTCCGAAGGCCATTTTAAAGGCTTTAGCCGTCAGCAAAATATAATTAGTAAACAGTTAAGGATTAAAATATAGAAATCACACATTTAAAGAACCCAGGGGTTGCCAAATCATAGAACATATATTTTTCTTATATATATCTTATTAGCCATCGTAAGACCCTTACAAATCATATATAAACACTTCTATATATGTATACACACACACACACACACACACACACACACAGAGAATCTAAGGATTACTATAAAGACAAAAGTACAGCTATTATGAACCTTAATCAATGATCTAAAATCCATCACTTTAACAAACTACTCTATATAAAATAAATAAGCCATGAGGATGTATTGTACAGCATGGCGAATACAGCCAATATTTTATAATAACTGTAAACAGAGTATAATCAATAAAAACTTTGAATCACTACGTTGTACATCTGAAACTAATATAATATTGTAAAAACTATATGTCAATAAAAAAATAAAAAATAAAAAAATTCAGTCCATTACTTTAAATGTAGTAGCACGCCGCACAGCGACAAGCTTCAGATTCACAAGCTGGTGTGAATTTCACCCTGGCATTTTCATCAAGGACCCACGTCTAGTGAACACACTAACCTGACTCCTACATTTCAATAACTGGAGATTTATTTAAACCTAACACATGGCTATTCTTCACAGAGTTCTACGTTTCTTCTCTCATGCAGATATCTGGTTCTCTTCAGTGTTTAGATATTTTATTTTTATAGTTCTATATTATTTTAAAAATACATACTCAGGCATATCCGTATATTCAGACTAATACACATAGACCCACAGAAACCTAAGTAAATATCCAAAAAGACATATACCTAATAAGGGCAGGACAGAAGGAGAGGTAGTTCATTTCGTTTATAAACAATTATGCTTATAAACCGTTAAAGACACTCAAAACCTAACGGCTACAGACAAAAACCTAACCATTAGAAAAGATCCAAGTTGAGAGTTTATTGTACATTTTGAGTTATTTTCCTTCCCATCTAGTCGCTCTGCCAACAATAGTAACTAGATGACATGTTGAGTTCCTTGCTGCTCTCAGTACTGTGATCTGCAAATTAAGGACCTATGATGATTAGCGCACTCTCTTGTCACCATGGCATAAAAGCAAGCAGACTAGTCCTACAGGAAGATCTGCTTTTGCCCAAGCGGGGCAGGAAAAAAAAAAGGGTTGGGAGTCTTAACGCACCAAATGTGAATGATTGGTCTGTAATGCGATGCTGATACTCATTTTTAAGAAGAAAGGTGAAGCAAGCAGCACACTGGAATGCATAAAGAGAAATGTCACATGAAGAATGGGAGCTCAATGTGAATCAGAGGGGACTTCTGTCTGCCCGATGGGCCGCTCCTTGGTCTTTGCCTTATAACCACCAATTAAGGCTACCTGTTAGCCCAGGGCAATTTTCCAGCCAACTTAATGAAACAGTTATACATGTAAGAAACAGTAGCCCAGATCTGAGATGGTAATGCTAATTTTCTAATAGTGAGGGTGTGATGTTATCCCCTGCACCACCTGGACACAATATAGAAACTGACAACAAACATTCTCCCAGACAGCATGGTATTACCGTCCCACCAGTGTGCAGACTGACATCGCTACAGAGGACAGCATCAGTAGAAACTTCCCCCAAATTTTATCCCAAAGTTAGTGAATACTGGTATTTGGTTTTTATTAAAAAGAAAAAAAAAGAAGGCCAGTGTCTTCAAGTGTTGATTTCTTTCATCATAAGCCATTTCCCAGCTCCAGAAGCTTTGAAGTGAACGCGTCTCATCTGTCAGGCAGCCCCTCACCCCCAGCCTGCCGGAGTCTGCGAAAGTGAGACCTATGAGTCTGTCTTACCTGTAATCTGACTCTGTCCTTGTGGATTAAAAGGACTTGGTGCAGAGTTCAGGGAGGGCCGTGGGTTCTGAGGCGGGACACCTACTCTCATACTGGGATGAGGAATGCGCCCTAAATCACTGAGGCGGTCAGAGAACAAACTAGGTTTAGAGTCATCAAGCTTCTGTCTGTGCCCTGGAAACAGCAAATCATAAAATAAAAGCATATTAATTAGCTGAACAATTGACCATGCTAAATAGATACGTGAACATACATACTAGGGGTTTAAGCCAAGGAATTGTCAATACTGATCTTTATAATGATGCGTCTATATAATGCCTCCCATTTCAAAGGGCTTTGTAATAAGCATCGTCCGGTGGCAAGCATCCCTGGTTCTGTTCTAGGAATGGACAGCGGAGGGGCCCAGAGGGTGACTCGGGGCCAAGCATCAGCGGTGAGGCCCAGACACCAGAGCCCAAGAGGGACTCTCTGGGCGCCCCCTCTGGCCTCTCGGGGAGGCTGGGAAAGGTGACTGTGTCCTGGGCTGTGTTTGCTCATTTCACGAAGGAGGAAACCTCCCCTGAAAGTTGAGAATCTGTGCATGGGACACACAGTGGGCCATACTTGGGGCAGAAACAGAGACAAACACATCTGTTAAAGGGACACTTCCATGATGACCATAAGTGACTTTTTCTTTTTTATGTTACCACTGTACCTTATGGAGACTCCTTTCTGAAAAATTAAAACTCAAACCAAGAACCCCTTTAAGAGGAAAACAGAAATACAGGCAAGGAAACTCAAATCCTCGAGAGGAATGTGGATATTTTGTGATACGCCAAAGCCTGAAAGCGCATAATAAACTGTGTTAAATCAGAGAGAATGCTTTTCTATTTTAAATCTAGTACTGTGGCTCTGTAAGAAAAACTGAAAAATCCCCTTTGGGTTACCATGTGAATGTTGAGAATCCACTATTTAAAAAAACAAAACCAAAAACCTCACTTTGTCTCTCTTCTAGTTTATTCAAGTGTAAAATCCACAGAAATTCTAGATATTAAAGAACTATGTAAGTTGAAATATAACCAAGGTACTAAGACTTTTTAAAAATCATCCAATTATTCTTAGCAAAGAGCATGGTATTGCCTTGGTGCAGGTATAACTGGAAAACACCTGAATCTTGATGCGACATTAGTTAAGTGTAAATCCGTAGAGTGGGACTATGGTGAACAAGTACAATGATGCCTACTGCTTAATCAGAAGTATATTCCATATTCTGTACCAGTGAAGCCCTGGTATGTTGCCCCAACAGTTTAGTAAAATGTTAAGTAACGGAAGCTGATTCAAAGAAGAGCCATTTAAGATGATGACTAGAATAAGAATTTGCAGGAAAAATTAAGGGCATTAGGAGTAGTATCTATAACAGAAGAAAACCTTGAAGGAGGATTATTCAGAGCCTTCGAGAATGGGAAGGTAGATTCTACAAATAGCAAGAACACCTCATCTCCCACTTAGTACAGGACAAGAGGAATATATCAGGACAGGGTTAAGCTGAACATTAGAATTTCCCAGCTATAAGCTGTCTTCCTAAGACAAATTCCTTATTTTACTTGCCCCCAAATGTATTTTCCTGTCTCCTTTTTCATTGCCTACCCAGCCCAAAGAAAACAGACAGGAAGCCAAGGTTTGGTAATAGGAGTGTAGCTGTCTCCCCAGCCAAACATGTTCCAACTAAGGCCCATTAACTGAAATGCACCCACCACCCTATTTCCTGCCAGTGTAAGTCTGGGGCATGTGCTACAAATGAGGGGCTAAGATTGGGAGAAAAATGATCAGGAAAAACCAGGGAAACTCACTGCTTACTGATAGTCGTTTTCCCCACCATTTATGACTTTTTAATCCAGATTACACATAGATTTTAGAAATCTAAAGGATTATTCCCTAAATCTATTAGGGATTACCCAAAACAAAAAATCTAAAGGATTAATCCCTAAATCTATTAGGGATTACCCAAAACAGCTCCCAGACCCCAGGAAGTGAGGTGTTCATAGATGAAGTGACCAAGGCCTGCAGAGATAAAACAACTAGCCCATGGGTCTTAGCTATTGACTAGCTCAGCCTGGACCAGGATGCAGCCCGGGTCCTAGTGGACTCAGCCTTCCATACATCATGTGGCATCATCCATGCTGGATCCCAGCTTTTCCCTTCCTCTCCCAGCTGCTACGAAGGACTGAAAATATCCAGGTTGCCAAGGTGAGGCACCTGAGGACTAAGCCTTGGGAGGTGTCAGGCTGGTTTTCAAGGCGGGCAGAAGCAGCAGCAAGGATTCAGTTACAAAGTTAATAGCTCACCCATTACCCTAAACAAACTTCCATCAGTATACCTCGCTGTGTCTTACAAGGTTCACGATTAGAGAATCATACAGTACTTGTCACACTTAGGTCCATGGATTCTGTTCCTCATACACATACCAAAAAAAATAAAGGATTGCTGTGGTGTTGATACAGCTGTAAACATTAACAAGAAAGCTTATGGAATTGTCCCTGGAAGTTATTTAATAGGTCATATTTTTGGAATGGCAGATTCCCTGAGGGCTGGGGCGGTGGGGGGGGGGGCTACACAATCTTGCATGGTTCCTTTACATACTGGGGCTTTATGTGGGCCATGGGTCACAAGAAAATTTAATAAGCTTTGCCTCTGCTTTCTACAGCCCTTTCGTTAGGTTTTCATGGAGGCCGTATGAGATGTGAACTCAGTACACAAATGTGTGAGGACACGTTTATTTTCTCTGAGTCCGGTGCTTCGGGGCAGTAACAGGAGGTCGTAGGCAAGAATAAAGGACCTGGAGGAGTACGGATGTGTGTGAGAAATTTAAGAGCAGGTGAAATTTGAAAAGCCTCAATCACCTTTTGGAAATGATCTTCGAAGCCAAGCTACCGAGTATCTACACACACCCTAGAGTAATTCGGGGAACATCTATCTGCAGCTCCATCTATACAAAAAACATACCCATTTTTCTTCCTAGAATGTCTGCCCCTTCACAGCCACCACCACGACCACAACAAAATTCTTGCAGGAGAATGAAGAGCAAAAGCCGAACGGGTTCTTCATCTTTCAACCATGACAAATAACTGCTACCGCTAAACCACATCAGGGTGACACAGGAATGACGGGCTGAAAGAAGACGTACTTAAATCCTCAGCACCCAAGCCGTCCCTTCGGAAACTGGGGACTCGGAAGACAAAGGGCACACCGACTTCAATCAAGGACAGGGTACTCTGCCACGGTACAGGGAGAACCAAACCTCATCCAAAGCACCAAAGAGCGGATCTTCCAAGCAGGAGGAAGCTATAAAGAATGGAGAACTGCTGTCTCCATGTTGCACAGTCTTGCATATCTAAGACTATGCAAAAGCTCGGTCCTGGATCTCCTTTTCTAGTTGCACTGCCTGCCTTGATCAGTGGCTCTCCCATCCAAGCTGAATAAAAATGTCCCCTACGGAGCTTTGAAAAATATAGATGTCCATCAGCTCAATTAAATCGGGAGCTCTGGAAGAGGGTCCTGGGGAAAGTTATTCTTTAAAAGCTCACGACATAGTCCAACGTGCAGCTGAGGTAGAGAGCCACAGCCCAGGACGATCCCACAACCCCACTCGCTCAAGGCCACCGACTCACGTCCATGCCTCCCCCATCGCTAGGGTGAGTCCTAATTCTTGCTTCTTCTCTCCAAGAAACACCGTTCCTCCCTAAGAGTCCCCCATCTCAGATGGCACCAGCCACTCAGTCCCTTAAGCCAAAAACCTTAACACTTCCCTTGATTTCCCCTTATCCCTCACTCCCCACATTCAATCCATTAACAGATTTTGTCATTTCCATCTTGAAGGTCTATCTCGAATCTGTTCAGTTCCACCAGCACAACCCTCACCCAGGACCCCATCATGTCTCTCTGGGCCTCCGCCATTGTCTCCCTTAGTGTCCCATTCCAGGATTTTTCCATTTTCCTGAAATGCTCTCCCCGGGATTCTCTGTACAGCCCACTCCTTCTCATCCCTTAGACCTCAGGGTGAACACCACCTCCTATGAGAGGTGCCTGCCTACTAGACCCAGAATAGGTGCCCTCCCCTCGAGCACACCCTGTTTATTTCCTTGATGGCTGTAACACAATCTGTAATTATCTCACGCATTGATTTGTCTCCCCTGCGAGACTATGAGTCCAACAAGAACGACTGCTCTGGCATGTTTACAGCTGTAATTCTCACAACCCAGTTCAGTCCCTGCCGTACAGTAGGTGCTCAATAAATGTTTATACAATAAATGAATGAATGTTCTCCTCTTTTAGATAAATGTCTTGGTTGAGAGAAATTTTTCTGGCCCAGGATATCATATTATAGCACTATCTTTCCCAGAAAAACTCTTCCCTTCTTATTTGGCAGTCTTGTGAATCCAGCAGGGAAACCCCTTTTTTAGAGACCAGCCTTTATTGATGTTTCCTAAGAAATTTCCCTGAAGAACGTTCATTTAAGTGAAAGCTTGCTTGCTTGCTTGCTTTCTGAGAAAGACGCATTTGCTCTTACTCTAATTCTTAAGCATTGCTGCAAGTCATTTAGAATCACAGAACTGAAAAGGACAAGAGAAATCATTTTGACTCTCAGTTTTAGAGCAGTGTACTTCTTTAATGGAGAGGACTCTGAGTCCCTGAGAGGGGAAGTGACTTGCCCAAAGTCACATAGTTAGTGGCAGGACGAGAACTCAGGTCTTCTGACTGCTGGTCTGGGACTCTTTCTCCCTCCCATTTGCCAACCAGCTTGTTTTAGATTAAAACAGCACATCATCAGTCATTCAGAAAAAATCACAGTCAAAAGTGAATTTCAAGTGGAAAAAAGAGTAGTTTTCAGAACAAATTTCATTCAAAAAGTTCAGTGTGTTTGGCTGAATATGACTTTTGTTGCAACAAATTCAGGGGCACAAGAAGAAAGTGTGATGGAAGGGTCACAGCACTCACACATCCCTAGAGCAAAGACACATGAGGGACGGTTAAGTCACCAACCAATGGTCTAATGGTCCAATTCTTCCCCACCCAGCTCTTTCAGTCCAAGGGCAACTCACCCACGGTGAAAGTTGGTAATGTTGCCTTTAGAACTTCTGCTTAAAAGAAATCACGCTTCTGAAACTGGTCCGTGAAGACTCTGAAACCGTGGTATG